GAATTATGTAGCCCATTCAGCTGCATAATGAATTTAAAAAAAAAAAATTGTATTCCATCACTGCCGTGGTAGATCAGTGCTTTGATACATCCATGAATATCCCCAAAGATGGGAATTTCTTAATGTTTTTAAGTTCTTTACTGACTATTTTTCTTTACTGACAATTTCTGTTCTTTACTGGCAAGCATTTTTATGGCTTCATTGATAGTTGAAGCAGAGCAGGGCACTGACCCCAAATCTGCTGATTCCCCATCCAGTAAATTAACCCTAGACTGTCCTTTCTTACTTCAGTGTCCTGGCTGCTTCTGCATCTTTTGTGAGAAGCTGTGCGAGTCCTTCTTGTGTTGTTGCTTCTTTTCTTCTCCCAGTCTTTCACGGATTTTGCTCTTTCAGTTGAGGGGATTTAGATAGGATTCCAATTGCATTTAAAGCAAGGCTGTTCCCTAATTTTCTGTAAGAGTTTTTTTTCAGGATGTGGGATAACACCATTACTCCTTCATGGGCTTGGACAGCACGCTTTCCAAAACACTTCCAGACTTTTCTGACGGGAATGAGAGTATTGGACTAGACTCAACATCAGGGGTGGGCAAAATGTGGTCCGCGGCCAGATGCAGGCCGCCAGGACATTCTATCCGGCCCGCAGGGCCCCTAAAAAATTTAGAAAATTAATATTTATCTGCCCCTGGTTGCCTGTCATGAGGCCCTTGATGGCTTGCCAAAACTCAGTAAGTGGCCCTCAGCCTGAAATAATTGCCCACCCATGCTCTACTTTGACCAGTATCTTAAACGTCCATATGCCAAAAATTCCCCTTTCCCTTTGTTGTGCAGTATTGTAATCTGCTCATTAACAAAGGCAAGCTGAAGGTTGAACTGTTTTGCTGATTGCATGCAATCAAATACTTGAAATGCATATGTTAAATCTTTAATAAACTACTTTACAGGTGTTGGAAGCCCATGGTCTGAAACCAATTACCTTGAAACCAAAGGAGGTAAGAAAAAAATGTACTGCTGCCACCTGGTGACAACCCAACCTACCTAATCAGTTGTTGCTTCATGTTTATGATGCCTATATTTTAAAAATGAGTTGAATTAATGATTATTTTAAATCAAGTTTTAGAAAGGAATTACATATTGGACATGGGGAAACATACCAGAGACCTCTTTCTGAGATAAAAGCTATATCCCGCCTATATATTAAGGTTGTACTGTTGGAACTCTGTTCTTTTATCAGTAGTAAATGCCATTCATCCACACAAAGCTGATGAAGAATGCTTTGCATTCAGAAGCTTGTCCAGCTTTATCCCAATCATGCAGTTTGTCCAATAAAAGATATCACCCAAAATATTCTTTCTGCTCACATCATTTCTGGACTATCACAGCTGCAGTATCGCTTCATCCACATACACATTTTCCATTGTCAGTGATTCTGGGGATAGCCATCAATAGAAGTTACTTTAACTCTCACTGATACAGACTGACTCTAGTCAGGAGCTAAAGTGGTGTAATACTAGTATGTTCACATCCCATTTTCATAGCTACTATAAAGCTGTGCAAACCAGCACCAGACTGCAGAACTGACCTATCTGGTCACTCTTTTAAGTTTCACTGCTCTGAAGTCATCTCAGCCATCTATTACGAGAAATCTAGGGTTTTTAGATGGATTTTTGCTGCTGTAAATATAAATATATGTTTAAATTTCAGTTGATCTATTATAGGGACCAGAAGACATTTTGATTTGGTAGCTGATAAAAAGAAACTTATTTGTGACTTGAAAAACACATATTAAAGACGTTCATGTGCACTAGCCAGCATTTGCCCAGTACAGGTATTTACTGGCACGAACGTATGAATCTGTTTACTAAATAAAACCCACACTGATAAAATCTTACTAGGCATCTAAGCGTAAATCTTTGTCTGCATATGTGATACTCTTGCTCTAACAGAAGAGCATAATCACTGTGTAAAGCTCACAGTACCTGCAGCAAGAGTTCTAATCTAATGTCCACTGAAGTTAGTGGGAGGTCTACCCTGAGCTTCCTAGGTCTAGTGACTTATTCATACCTATTTTTTTTAAATTTCTATAGTTGAATAAATATGTATAAAATTCAGCATAAAGAAATTACTATGGCTTAGGGGAAAAAATATAAAGCAGTGCAGTACCTCAAAAAAGTTCAAGCATATATGTAGTGACTAAGAAGTTAAAAGCACACCTTTGCCTTGAAGCAGGGATGCTATATCACCATAATTTTTATAGGTAAAAAGGTATTTCTACTGGTCCTGCAGTAACAAATATTTATGGCAACTGCTATGCAATGTAGTTGTCATAGGAGCCATTTTCAGTCCTATAGTGTTTTTGCTATGATTTTTTTCTCTGAATATGGATGGATAGTTGACAAAGATTTCTCCTGTAGTCATGGTATACATTCCCACTGAATTTAGACTGCTGTCGAAATAAAAGCCTGCTGTCTTTTTGAAGGGTCTGGCTCTTATCAATGGAACACAGATGATCACCTCTCTGGGATGTGAAGCAGTTGAAAGAGCCAGTGCTATTGCTAGACAAGCTGACATAGTGACTGCACTTACACTTGAGGTCCTGAAGGGTACAACTAAAGCCTATGATACTGGTTGGTACTGACTTTTTAATGTACTATATTTACTGAATGTTCATTTGCTCCTGTTGGCAGCAGTTAGTGAAGAGAAGGCTAAGAGAGTAAAGATCACTTTTGTTCTAATATTCATTCAGTGTGTCCACATCGGGGGCAGATGGAGGTGGCTTTCCAATTTAGATCGTTCTTGGATTCGGATCACCATCCTTCAGAAATAGCAGGTGATTAACCTTTCCTTCCTGCATAGCAAGACCACTGTTTGATGTATACGGCAGTCTGATGACTTTCAATGATCCAGGTTATTTTTTAATTCAAGAACTCCTTTTTTTTTTGCAGAGAGTCACAGATTTTGTGACAGAGTCCAGGATGCATATACAATGCGCCGTTGTCCTCAGGTAAAAAGTAGTTTTCCCTTCCCTCATGCAAGGATAGGTCAATGATGCTGAAATCCCAATTGCAGTTGAATATCAATTATGTGTTGGCCATCTTCTTTAAAATAATGCAACACATTATCTTACGGTTCTCTCCAACACTTGTAGATCTTGTGCTGGGTCCATGTTCAGGATTGAATTCAATATAGGATGAGCTCTGTCCGGCACTATTAAAACAAAAACTCTTCAGACAGTCAGTCATGGGGATCAGAAGGCATTTTGTTTTGGTAGTTTAGAAAAAAGTAATAAGTTTATGACTTAAAAAGCATAGTTTTATGTGTTTAAGCAGTAAAAGTTTTGTCTGTGTAAGGAGCTAAACAATGCTAAGATTTCTAAGAAAAGGGGTTTTCTAAGATTAACTCCTTAAGAACATTTACTGCACTATAGTCTATTGGCTAAACTTTAATTACCATTTATTTTCACCAAGATGATGATGTTATAGCTAAGGAGAAAGCTAATGCCCACAGGTGAAGCAGATACATTTGTATCATCGTCATAATCATATTAAGTCAGCTCTGAAGACTACAGTATGTAAAGCATCCCCAAGTTTTCATGAAAATGTAAATCCTTAGCTGTGTAGATGGGCAGAGTCTGAGCACCGTAAAGCATGGGTGTGCTCCTAAACCATAGAGTTACTGAAGGTCAGCATCCTGAAGATGAGTCCACGTAGAAATGACCTCTTGTTTCTTTTAGGTCCATGGTGTGTTGAATGATGCAATAGCTTTTGTAAAGGACATAATCACAACTGAAATTAATATGTCAACAGACAAACCTATATCCTTCTTCTGTTTTTTGTTTTGGTTTTTTGTTGTTCTTTTTTTTAAATTGAATATTATGTGGTTAATTTTTCCTCTTCTAAATAACCATAATCTAACGAGGCATAAATTCACTGTAGACCTTCCAGTCCAATGGGCTGCCAAGATTGCCAACAGCCCACGTATCTGGTAAAATATGGTGGCCCTTAACTACAAATCACTTAGTCAGTGGGACTACCTATGCTTTGAAGCAGGAGTGTCAAACTCATCTGGCCCCATGGGTCCATGGGCCCCATGGGCCCGATGAGTGTCATGGGGCTGGTCCATGTGCTGGAACAGGCCCATGGACCCCCAGCCTGAATGCCCGATCCAGTGCAGGGTGGATCTGGGATGCCAGTCCAATCAAGTGCCATGGGTAGCACAGCCTGGGACCCAGCCTGAGCAAATGCCGTGAGCAACGCAGCCCAGGACCAGCCCCAGCCAGCACTATGGGTTAGGGTGGACCCAGGAGGGGCACAATGGTACGGTTGCCACCCCCCTGTGATTCCTGTTTCACCCAGGGTTTAAAACTAACTGCCTGGTAATGGCAGCAGTGATGAAGACCACTGAGGTCCTGGCTCATTATAATACACCTGATTCCTTCTAAGCTCTCCCTTCCACAGGTGTTAACAACCCTCTCTTCCTCTTAATGGTCTTGAGTGGTTCCACTAATCAAGCTAGCCTTTGTTCTGCAATTCTGCTGTCTGCTGCTCCCTCTAAAGTAGCTCCTGTTTCACAGCCTTGCTTTTAACTCTAGCTAAAACCATTAACTTAGGTGTGAAAATGCTAATTGAGATAAACATTAACTTAGGTGTGGAAATAACTTTCACTGAAGAACTGGATGCGCTGTCAAGATGGTCAGAAATGCTGTGTTTTGTTTTATGTATTTGGAAAAGAGATGCCCATTTAATTCTAATGACTACAGGACTAATGAAACTGCATCTTTTTATTATTTAATGTCTAGTTTGTTGTATATTTATGGATAATATATGATATAGCAAATGAATGCACATTCCAGTAGTGTTATATTTGTTTTTGCTTGGTTCTTAAACTAATAATGTAGCCCGAGGCCCATAGCCTACTAGTAGAATTTCTAATTTCTTTTCAATTGGAGAAAAATATGTAATGTGGTATATGTGATGATGCACTGCACTATTTGCATCCCCCTTTTCAAAATCCTGTATCTGCTCATGACCAGGGATGAACCATGCCCAACAAGTGATGTGAGCAACGCAACCTGGAATCTAGCCCCAGGGAGTACCACAAGTGGCAGAGCCCAGGACCCAATGCCGTACAGGCAGCACAGTCCAGGACCCAGTCTCAGCCAAGTGCTGCACACAGCACGGGGCTAGCTGGCACAGGATGTCGGTGATCAGGGCAGCACTAGGGGCAGGATTATCTTACTGGTCATATATTTGACACCCCCATTTTAAAGCTAAGCATGTGTTTAGGTTTTTCAGAGATCAAATACCTGCACAGTTGTATCAGATACGTGAATGGTTGGAAACTTGGCAGCCCATTGGACTTAAAGATTGTCTCTATGTTTATAAAACCTGTATTCTAGAATGCAGTTTGAGTGCTGCGAAGGGAGAACCAAGAAATGTTCCCAATTTTGTATCCAGCTTGAAGGCCATTTTGAGAATTCTCAGCCTATACCTCATGATGAACAAAGGTCAAGTCAATTTTTCAGGACAAAGATCAGGAATAAAAAAGGTTTCTTTGTGTTATATGATAGATGGTAAGTGCCACCATTTCCTCACTATATAAAATTTCATCTGCACTGACATTGCAATTCACAGTTACACTAGAAGCTGTGCTTCAGTTTGTCTTTGCATTGCATATAACCTTTACCTCTTGACAGTCTTTAAATGTGTAAAAGGTTGGTGCAAAGAGGATGGCTACAAACGGCTCTCTGTGTCCGCTGGAAATAAGATAAGAAGTATGTGCTTAATTTGCAAAAAGGAAGACTTAGGTCAGATGTCAGGAAAAACTTTCTACCTGTAAGTATTGTTAGGAACTGGAATAAGTAATTTAGGGACATTTTGAAGAGCAGCTTAGACCAGGGATGCTCAACCTTTTTCCCTGACAAGCCAGATGGGTAGTGCCTGGCCTGACTATGGGTGGGATGGCAGTTCCAGTCAAGCACCCAGGGCCGGCACAGGAGCCACCGTTTGGCCAGGAGAAGGGGTGGGGGCAGCCGAGGCTAAACCTGATGCTGCAGGGGTGGAGGGGGCTTCACCCAGCTGCGTGGCAGAGGGGCAGGGCCTGGCACCCACCTAGCCCCGTGAGGGAAAAGGAGGCATGGTGTGGTCCGGCCCCATGGCAAAAGGGGGTGTGACCTCATGGGAAAAGGGGGCGTGACCTCATCTCGTGGTTGTCTGGGGAGGGGTGTGGCCCATCCTCAACCCAGCCCTGTAGGGGGAAGGGGTTGTGGCCTGGCTCCAACTGGGTACATGGGGTTTGGGAGTTTGGCAGGGGGGGAGGGTGGCCACATTAATGGCTACTGCTCCCTTGCCACCAAGTTTCCTGACCTGTAGGGAGCCCTGCAGGCCAGATGCAATGGCCTGTGGGTCAGAGGTTGAACACATCTGGGTTAGACAAGCATTGGTCAGTAATTGTTTAGATACTGTGGATCCTTCTTTGCCTCCGGGTGGGCTGAGTTCCTTTCCCCAGCCCCATGGTCTGGCAAAACAGTTGAAACAGCATCAAAACAGCCTCACTGTTTCAACTCAAAATTATATTCGATACAAAACACTGTTCTGTCCAGACCTCGAAACTGAAGTCGGAAAGGAACAGTGCCATTTTGGACAGCCCTATTAAGGAGTATCTATAAAATGAAAAAGTTGGGCTCTGGTTTTGAGTTTGGGTTTTTTTTAGCATTTTCTAAAAAGTGAATGTTCAGATGTAATACACTGTATATATGTGTGAGTACAAAAAAGCACCTTTTCTTCCTCCATTCAAGTAGGGTATTCATATTATTCAGAGATATGTAGTACTTATGCAATGCTTTATTCATGTTTGCACCTTAACTTAGCTTTAAAAATGATTTTTGCTGACAGGGGAGAGACCATTTCTGAAGGAAATTTTCATGGTGAATACCCCACAAAGGTAATTAAGCATTTGATTGAATATTATTTTCAGATTTGTTTTTTAAATAGTTGATTAAATACAGCAAGCTTCTCTTCTAGGCTCTGGACTACCTGGTGATCGATGTTCATGAACTAGCTGCAGTTAGTGAAAGGAGAACTGAAAGACTCTGCAGCCCCTCAGTTGGTGAGCTGCCTGCCTTTCTTGTCACTGAAGGGGGTCTGAACTCTGGTTTCATGATCGCAAACTGCACAGCTGCAGCCCTGGGTGAGTTCATTAAAGGCTTAAGCAGTATTGACAAGGGGGCAAATTAGAAAGTTCAACTTACCTTGGGGTCTGAGTTAGTGGGGATGTCCCTATGAAGCAGGGGGCAGATCCTTTGTGGGCTTGATGTGTACAGCCTTTGGGCTGTATCCACCTTGGGGAGGTGGGTCATCAGGTGTGCATGGTTTCTCTGTAGCCAGAGGACTTGTATTGGGATCTGCCCTGTAGGACTTCTCACTGTTTCTTCGAGAGCTGTTGTGCTGTCATGGCCAGCACTCGCAGGGTTTCTGCTCCTTACCTGCCATCCAGTTTTTGCTTTTTGGATTGTCATTTGGCACACAAATCAGCAGCAGAATGGTGATGTTAGCTCCTACATGCTGGCCATGCTGAAACAGTAGTTCTGGCAGCTATGTCAAGAATCCCTGTGGGCTGTATTTGGAGGTAGGTTATCCGGAGCTGACGCACCAACTCATTTAAGTTTGGTACCCATGCTTTAAAGTAGGGGTGTCAAAGATACAGGCTGGATCCAGCCTGTAGTGCTGTGTCATCTGGCCTCTGGTGCTGATTGTGAGTCTTGGACTGAACCCACATGCTGTATGTAACATACGTCAGACTGGCCATATGCATGTGTGCAAGGCTGGGTCCAGGACGTAAACTACGCCTGACACCCATACCAACCCAGAAATCTCCTCAGACAAATGGCTCTCAGCTCTTACAAATAATGCGTTCTTCCCCTTACCTCCAGATATCCAAATGTTCTGAAGTTCTTGCACCCACATTTGCCTGCCATCTGCCTAGCTGGGAATTCTAATCACAGCCTTCACATCAACTTAACTTGCAGAACTACAGCATTGGAGGGGGTGGAGCAGAGGAAGCATCCAACTGCTCAAAGCAGCTGAACTCCTGCTGCTGTTCCCACCTTCTTGCTCTTTTCCTCTGAGGTTGCTTGAAGTGCTGCTTTCTGCAGCTGTCACGATTGGCTCCTTTACCCCAGAAGGCGGGCAACAGGAGCAGGCAGCAAATCAAGTAAGGATTTTCAGAAGTTTGCAGGAGGCCAACATGTTTTATGCCATCATGAGATTGGCTTCAGCCCCAGTCAGAATTCCTAGCCAAAACCCAAGTCTTGG